TGTTTACATGAACTGATATATCTTGATTACTATAGTAATTGGATTATCTTGTTTTTAAAACTGTGGTAGACCAAAATGTGTTTTTGCATAGTGTTAACAGTGTAGCAGGAGTCGTTTTTGAGTATCTCAAGCTCATTCCTTTCCTGATGGAAGCATGTGCTGTGCTAATTTCAGATCTTCTCACTGGGCTATTGTCCAACTGGTGAGTGGTTGGCAGTGGGAATGGAGAACAGTAATGTCGAGGTGCTGCATGTTACTAAGCCGGACAAATATCAGCTGCATCTTCATGAGAGCTGTGTGTTGTCACTCAAATTTGCTCACTGTGGTAAGCAAATCTTTCTATGCCAGTGTTTCGCCTCCTGAGAAATTCATTCAGGATTACGGAGGTAGATTTAAAAATCAGATGTTAAATTTAAGTTTTGTAATTATTTAAAAAATTCTATATGACTGCTTTTTTGTGTGAGCTGCTTATGTTGTGATCGAACATCGTAGTGCAACCAGATGAAAACGCGACTGTTCTTTGGATATGTTTTCCAGTAATGTGTGAATGCATTGTTTTTATGATTAATCTGTTTCTTGGGTGCATTCCTTGAAAACAAAATGCAACAATAACATTTAAACAATCTGTTGCAGGCAAATGGTTTGTAAGCACTGGAAAAGATAATCTTCTTAATGCCTGGAGAACACCTTATGGAGCCAGTATATTCCAGGTAATAATCTCCTAGAAGCTGTTTTCCACATACATTACAATGCAGTAGAGCTGCACTTCTCAAGGTCTGTCATTATCTTAAGGAGTTTTTAAATGGAAATTCTTAGCTAATTACTATGTTCCTTTAAGACTTTGTCTGTAATTAAACAGAGATATGCTTTTGTCCTTTCTAAAATTTTGAGTAATTTAGCTCTTAGAATAAAGTAGCCCTTTAACCTGAAATTGGTTTTAGCACCCTTCTTTCCCACCTTCTTGCACAACAGAACCCAAGTCATGTCATTAGGGTGAGCATTTACTGAGGGTATGAAATGTCACTAAAACAGTGAACGTCATATTCAACACATGTATTTTTATTGGGTGAGATGTGTAAAGTCAGTGGATTGGACAGGCAGACTCCTGAGCTGAAGACTTGTCTCCTTATGGAGGAGCGCCATGGAGTATGACTGGAAGTTGTAACCTTTCTATAATCTTTACTCCATCTGTGCCCAATTTTAATGGCAATTCAGTGCTATTAAAGAAAAGTGGGGGTTTTGTCATGTCCTTCACTTATTTCCCCTACAGTTACCTTTAGGCTGCGTGGTTTTTTTTTTTTTACTTAACGGGTATTCTGGTTTAAATGGTCATGTCTCACCTGTACTGATACCTGCCGTATCTCTACCTCTGGGGACAGCGCAGTTTGCCTTGACATGAGAAAGCTGAGCTCTTGAGTTTTCTTTGTGGAGGCTGTTCAGCTCTGGAACCACCTCCCACAGAAGGCCCATATCATCCTAACAAGAACGCATCTCCTTTAAAAGTGATGTTAAAACCCCAGTGCAGCTTTCTTAATGAGGGCTAGAGAAAGAAGCTTCATGTGCAGTGCAGCAGAGGGTTTTCTTGTCAGGAGCTTAGCTTGACTGGGAAGTGTTTAGCTCATGCAGTGACAGGCAGAAAAGAATGTGACTGTATGTTATGTAAAGAAAGCATGCACTAAAAGCAAGTAAAAGGTAACATTATGTACACATCATCTTACAAAAGTCAGAAAAGCTGGGAGAGACAGAGCTACTGCATTCTGGTTTATCCTGTCTCCCATTCACCTGCTAAACACTGTTGCTCATCCTGTTCCACTACAGTATCTCTTCGTATTTGCATCCTTCCTGATAATTTAAATTCCTTTGTGCAAGGCTTTTGTCTTCTGTGCTGGGGAAGTAGTGAGAGGAGATACAGTTAATTCTGTGGAGTCCCCTTGTTCTATACCTCTGGGTGGGTAGGGCTTTGTAGTGCTTCTCCATACAGGTTTCTGGTTTACAGCAAAAAAGGGAGAGAAGAAGAAGGTGGCTTTTCACTCATTTTTATTCAAAACCTAATGTATAAAATATTAATAAATGCTTATTGCTTGTAAAGTGTATAGAAAGGGCTGTTCCTTTTTGTGGGATTGATAGATTATCTCTAGGTCCATAACATTCACTTCTCTTTCCACTGCTTTTTTTTGTTGCCATAGAGCTTTAGGATGAACAAGTTCGGAGAAACGGTCTTGTAAACAAAAGCTGCCAGTATGATACTGATATTTAAATGAGCTTTCAGTGTATTCCCTCTCTATGAACTCTTCCAATTAATCTTCAGACCCTTCCAGATTGAAGGATTGGAAAGACATAATTTTCTTTTTTCTTTGTTTTTTTTTCTCTCGTAGTCCAAAGAATCCTCATCTGTGCTTAGCTGTGATATCTCTGTGGATGACAAATACATTGTCACTGGCTCTGGGGACAAGAAAGCTACAGTCTATGAAGTTATTTATTAGAGACAAATCTGAATGCAGACAGAACTCCTTCTCCTAGCACTTTGCTGTATATTCCTTTTTTTTCTTTCTAAACTGAGAACTTACATGCTCATCACAATTGTGAAATTTATTTTTACCTTCGTAACTTGCTGTTGATTTGTGAATGCTCATTAAGAACTTGTGATACCAAATTGTCAGATATCTACTTGGAAGAAGATGGAATAAGCATACTTACCAGTGAACTTGCTTCTTTCATTATGTAGTATAGCTGTAATGTATTTATTTTGTTTAAAGAAGGCTTTCTAACAAGGAACTGACTAAATAAAGCTGTCTGGCCCGGCTTTAGTTTGAAAGGTGCATTATATACTTTGTGTTTTTTTTTCAGGTGGATGAATTGGGGATCTTGGAGAAGGAGATAGTTAAAGTTACACTAAATAGACTTGTAGTTTCTATTTAAAAAAATAAACTTTGTTATATTTTTTAGTCCTGTTCTTGGATGAGACCTCTAAGTGTTATTACAGTATAATTATTTGGTGGGAAGATGCTGTATCTTAACTATTTTAGACAGTCTTGGAAATTTAGGAAATTGCAAACTGTAGCCAGTAATCTACATGCCTGTGATGAATGGCAAATTCAGTTCACATCTAAATTAAATTCACTTTAAGTAAGAATGTGCTAATTTATATATTTGCAATGTTAATATAGCATCTTGTGTACAGATCTGTTCTCAATGCTTTTCTGTTTATAAGCATAAAGCATTTTGGTGTCAAGCTAGGTTTTTTAATATAAACACCTCTCTTTGTTATATTGTAGAGAGTACAATAAGTTGCCTCAAAGAATCACCTTTGTTACTTCTGGAAACTTTTGCAATGTTTCCTTGAAAATGGGGATATGTGTCTTTGGGCAATTTTTCAATTACAAGAGATTATGAAAAATATTTGATATGTTCTTTGGAAACTGCACTGAAATAAGAATGGATGCCTACCAATATACAAACTACAAAAGCAATGACCTCTGAGGTAGGATTTACAAGAGTACTCATTCCGACATACAAAAAGGAATGGTTTCTCATTGGGATAAGGACTTGCTTTGTTCGCCAGCAGTTCAATCCAAGTCTTGTTTGGATGTCCCTAAAACGGACGCAGACTGAGCCATTGTGCCAGAGACAACGTGTTATCTTTTTATGTTGTTGTTGTTGCTGTTAAACTATGATCTGTGACTTTTTTTTTGAATGCTTTAAAAAAAATCTTTAAGTCTGTGGATCTGCTGATGTACAGTGCCTTTGCTGCTATGGATCAAAATCAAAAGACCCGTGTAGATAAATCTTATTGTATAAGTAGAAAATTACTTAATTTCATACTAGAAATGGATTGATGCTGCAAGTTAAAATGGACTGTTCATTGAAGTTCCAAATGTGGTAGCAAAAAAATGGTGTCTTAAGTGCTTAGTGTTTGATGTCATTAACAGTTTCGTAATACTCTACATTGTAGAAAGATTTTGATACTAAACTGTGTCATTGTACATAGTTCTAATGCATTGTATTGACCACCAGTACTTCTATAATGGTAGATTATTGTTTGTGCATTCAGACTTTTAAGCATTAAACATAAGTAACTTCTAAAATGAATTTTTCTATTTTTTTCCCCTCCCTCATTCTTTTTCACACGTGATAATCTCAGTTACGTGTGCAGAATGCTGTCTGTAGGGACAGCAGGCATTCAGTTGTCAAGCATGCCAGTACAGGTTTGAGGTTTTGTGGCCGAGAGACTGGAGTTTCACAGAATTTCTCCAAGCTAGCAACATTGATGAATTTATAGTTTCCCAAGTTAACTGACTGCAGTGATTCTGCACTCTTGGAGCCATCAGCCACAGACTTCGGCTGTGTCATCTAGGGGTTTGCCACCTCCTGTTTGTGTAGTTTCCCATTTGATACAAGGCTTTATGTTATCCCGTGCATTGGGGAGAGTGAAATTGGGGATGATTCCTGCTTCCATGCCTGCTGAAGTGTGCGGATCCCAGCAGGATGTGGGGAGTGGTGTTGCATTGCAGCATCACGCCTGGGTTTTCCCATCCAGAGCCAAAACCTGTTCATGCCCATGTAAAGGCTTCTGATCTCGGTTTTAGATCAAGAATTTAACCCAGCTTCCACTGAGTTAAGACACAGGTTAAAGTGAACTGAGGGAAATTAATTTATACACTATTGCGGGGAGGTGGGGGGTGGAGTTGTGCTATTCATAACAAGATAAAAGGAAATGGCAAAAATCCAAGGGGAATTTGGAAGTGAATCTTTCTCCTGTAACCCATTTCTGAAAAGTAACATCGCATGTGTTGGAAATTCCCAGGCATATAAGCCTGTCCTGCCGTGACTTGCCAGCCCATGGTGACTGCCAGTATGTGAACCCAAGCTGAGAAATTCTGGTTTTTTTTTTTTGAAGTGCCAAAACAAGGCTTAAACTGATGAGGTCATTTACCTGTACTATGAGTGACTGAGTAATACTTATTGACAGAGTGCAGAGGATAGCTACTTCAGAGCTATCAGTTTCCTTAACGGTGAAGAGTTTTCCAGATGTCCCCCAGAATAATGTAAGTTTTCGCCTGTATTAAAGTTCTGTGCTACTTAGTACAAGAATGCTTCATAAACGTAAACATGGTACAAATGCTTTCTGTTAATTGCTACTCTTCTCTGAAGAGATATAATTTATCTGTTCTAAATACTATATTGGCAACACCTTTTATTTTCAAAGCCATTCAAAAATTTAAAAGGCTAGGATGTACTCCATTTGATAACAAAAGAGAAACCACCTACTTAATGTTTGTAGAGGATGTTATATTTTGATGTAGTAGTTCAGGCATAAGAGATTACTTAAAACCCCTAAGATAAAGCCTTCCTTTAAAAATAATAAAACATTGTATACTCCTGAATTTGTACCAAGGCTAGTTTTGACAGCAAAGTAATATGCTTTTAAAGCGGCCTGACATATATCTGGTTATTAATGTTTGTATTGATGGCTTGTAAACAGTCTAGAATTTAGTGCTTTAATCCAGGATTACTGCAGTTCAATGTGTAATTATCCTAATATTTTCCCCCTTCAGGGTTCAATACAAGTGAGAGATGTTACAGAGCTACTTTCTGGTTTTTGGTTAATTATACATAGGGTCACCTTCCTTTTTAATTTTTTAGTTTCTCTCACCACTGCAGAGCACAATTTTGTGCAAAATGTTTGGATATTTTCTGTGCCACAAATGTGGACAGCACACTTCGTGTTCCAGGTACAGCCATTGCTTTCTCTGTATTCTTCCCCTCTCAGAGGTTGTTTATTGCAATGATACATTAGGAAAGCCATTTCTTTCTAATCTTTGTATGATTTCTGACTGGCCAGTATAAACAAGTTTAAGGGGAGCACTTTCCATCAAAATAGTATTTTCTAAAAATATGCAATTTTAAATTATACTTCTTAGCTGAAAGTGATTTTTCTCTCTTATTTCTTCTTAAGCTACTCAGTTATATAAAAAAGAAAAAAATATTTTCCTATACGAGTGATTTTTAAGTCTGTACTGGAATAGTATGGAATAGACTAGATTTTGTGATTGTTTTTACTCTGGCACCTGAAACACAGGAAATTCCTTTTTTCTGAAGTGCTGATGGGTGTATGAAAGAAACAGGAAGGTAGCTGTGCAGGTCTACATATGTCTGGAGTATCTTCTGTGGAAACACAGGTCAGATCCTTTGCGCAAATGAGCTCATGTGTGCTGAAGACAGCAATGCTTCTATGGCTTACACAACTGAAAATCTAGCTTGCTACTATAGCCATAGAGGACCAAATCAACCCATTAGGATTGGTTTTGTTTTGATTTGAACAGTTTGGTCCGCTAAGCCTCTTCTGTTCTTCTACTAGCATGTTTATTTGTGGTCATCTCCATTGAAATCCTAATGTGACTAGCTTCTACTCAAGGACCCATTTAAAAAAAATAAAAAAGTTAAATAAAACATGCTCCAGTTTTCGTATGCGCAGGAGTCAGGCAATTCAAAGCAGTAGCTTGGGCTGCAGCTGTTTCTCATTTGCATCTAATATACTACATCTTTGTGGAACCAGATCAGCATTGAATACAGCAATATAAAATACATTTTAGAACATCAAGTTTGGCTACTGAGAAAAATGTCGCTTTGAATTTTTCAGAGCAAATGCACTCAGAAGAGCTCAGCCAAAGAACTGCTCTTACATGGGATATGTGGGAGGAGCAGTTGCATTCAGTGCTGGAGACCTTTTGTGATACTAACGTTCTGTAGTGACCACAGTGGTGTTGAAGAGGGTCAGACGGTATGGGCTTGATGTGCAGCCAGACTGTTCTGCCATATATTTACGTGAGAATCCCCTTCTGAGGCATAGTAGGAGATGAATCCTGCAGTAGTGTGCTGTAGAAGATCATCTCTGACAAGCTCTTAAATAATGCACCTGCCGCGTCTGCTTTTGAACCAAGAGTTACTGAACATAACCCTTGAGATTTCATGTTTCTTCCGGTATTTGGAGTACAGTGTTTCCACCTCACAGCAAGAAATTTTTATGTCAAAACCAATAAATGTTCTTACTCTTACCAAATGATTTTCTGTCCTGGTTACAAGGAAACAGTATTATAGTGTCCTTTTTTATTATTAAAAATGGTGTAGTCTGACATTTACAACATGTCCATAAACCTGCCATCAAGTGCAAAGAGGCTCTTCTGGGAGGTCACTTTGACTCACATGGTTACATTCTAAATGTTGTTGCAGAAATACATTTTTTCTTCTTTTGAGGGGGATTAACCTGTGGTACGGTATGCATAGTGTACACTTTAAGGGAGGGACTATCTAGTAGTTATTTCTGCATCTGTGGTTTGGACTTCGCCAATTACCCCAGAATGCCAAAATGCATCTGAAGAGTAAAATAAGTAAGTAAAATATTTAAGCATTTTTTTAAAAATTCTGCTTTTCTACAGTAATTATATTGACCCAAACTGTCTTTTAATGTCATATCAAGGTAAGCATCCGCATTACACCTTCTTTTCATATTCAAATAAAAGAAGGGGTGGAGGAATTTAAAGCTAATCTTTACCTTTCAATCAAATCTGTTCTTTAAAAAATACCCCAGTGCTAGTGCTCGGAGGAGTAATTGTCTTAGGTTTATTGTCATTATTCTTGAAGAATTTTATAACAAATGTGTTGTGGCACAATCCACAGTGATGCTATAAATGGGGGTTGGTGATATGACTGCTATTAAAAGCCAGGTTTTAGTGTTATTGACGTAAAAAGAAGTCAGAGTGAGTTGGTTCTCCAAGGTGTTACCTCACTTCCTGAGCAAAAGCAAGATGGGGTTTTGGCAGTGTGCTTGAATGCATTTGGATGTCTGTTCAGTATGGCTTGGGGAAACTTGAGGGGCTTCAACCATTCTGTCTTGATTTTTGTTACTGTAATTTCAGATGCGTTTGATGTGTAGGAATGATGCATACGTTTGAGTTGAGTCCCAGGGCCAGAGGCAGGAGGTGCCATGTCGAAAGGGATGCTCCACTCCTGATTTCAGTCTCTGCTCTGTGCTGCCTGGCGTGTATTGAAATGATTTGCATGAGCCCTGTGTAAAGTGTTTTTATGTTCTTCTGCGTGAAAAGCATTGTCTAAAGGCTAGATATCTGTTACTTAGAAAAATTTGTCACAGCTGTATTGAAATATAGGGAGACATCGTCTGTTGGGAAAAGAACAAGGAGAACCTCTGGGGAATCAAGCATTTCAACCCCTTATTGAGTACTGTAAATGTGCAAATGAGACAGTTGCACTGCTGTCTTCTGCTGGAGTGGGGAGAAAAAAAAAAATCCTAAAATACATGGTATAAAGATAAAAGACTTGTGTTTCAGCATGGCTCTAAGGTACTGGGTATGAAGTCCAATTTACATTCATTTTAGAATAAACAAACATGAATCTTCTTGTGATACTAATGATGGCATTACTAGCCACCTTACAAAAAACAGTGATGTTGAAAATACGAGGATAGTTACCAGGCTTTCTCCTCTCCAACACATGAAGCAGTATCATACAAAAAAATCTGCTCATTTTACAGGGTAATCTCCTAAATGTGGTCAGTGATGTTAATACTTCAATTAAAATATTTTTTCCAAAGCAACGTTAATGTCATCCTCCCATTTACCTATGCACATCTTTGATTAAAAAAATTCCTACCTCCATTGCAAATTAGCTTATTTCATTCAGGCTTTTAAGAAGCAACCAGAATAGCTTCATATCAATTTTATTTTTGGGGGGGGTTTTGTGTGACTCCGTTGCTATTTTCTCACTCTTTCCTCCCCCACTGAGAACTTTCCTGTAGCTGGTGCTCAGCGCTCAAGAGATGTTGCTTGTGTCTTGGTCCTGATCTTGGGTGTTGCTCAGGGAATGGGAATGGGAATGGAAAGCGTTCACAGGATTTGGCTGGCTGTAACAACTGCTGTGACAGCTGTTACAGACTCATTTATGCCTCTTTCTTCCTCTGAGCAGTCTTAAATAAAGAAATGTGGTAGAAATAGTCCTCTGTCTAGCTGACCCTTCTGCTTTACCAAATTTCACAGGTACTCATCAGCTGGAAATAACAGAGGAAGAAAAGGAGCTGGGAGTCCTAGCTGGGCTCAGCATGACAGCGGGAGACAGCCATGAAAAAGACAATTGTGATCTAGGATGTGTCAGGAGAGGCATTTACAGCAGAGATAGGGAAGTATTGCTGCCATTATGCAAGGCACTGGTGAGACCTTGCCTGAGATAGTGAGTACAAGCCTGGTCACCTGTGTTCAAAAAACTTAATTGAAAATGGGACTGATAGGGAGAAGGGCCTGCCGGGCAGACTGGAAAATCAAGGGGATGGAGAACATGTCATGTAAGAAAAGCCTATATCCTTTTAATCTAGCAGACCAAGAGCAGATACAAATGTAGTCTAAAAATGCTTCAAAAGTCTATTCATCAAGGGTGAAAGGGTATTACAACTGAAGGATAATGCTAGCGTGAAAAACAAGTGAGGGAAACAGTGTAGCCTGGAATTAAAGAGGCTCCCCTTAGAGTAGGGGGACCTGCAGCTGGTTTCCAATCCAGAGACTGTTGTGGAAAAAGCAGACTGCTTTTAAGATGGAACACAATACACTTATGAAGAGGTGCATGTGATAGCAGGGCATTGGCATCCATAGCCCTTAGGTCTCTTCCAGTCCTTCCTACGTGCTTGACCTGCACATATAAAGGAAGTATAGTGATAATGGAATAAAGGAATATTTATTTTGAAAAAAGTTTGATGTGAGGGAGGGAGAGGAGGAAGGTGCGTGAAGAGGATGGGAAAGAAGGGCTGTCAAACAGAAAACACTCACGTGGAGTGTTTCTCTGCAGCTGAAAAATGAGCACTTCTCCCTAGGTCTATTTATTATGACACCGCTTATCTAAAAACAATAGTTAAAAAGAAATCTGCACATTATTCAAGCTCTAATGCAGCGTGTTCCAGCCTACTTAGACTCACTGGGTTTGTACTGCATCAGCACAGACAAATGATCTGATTTCTTTCATAAGTCAAAGTGAGTAGATTTTTTTGAGCTTGGAGATGCAGCAGGTGCTGCTTCTCCACGTCTGTCTCTGGTCATGTCCATAACACCTGGGTTCAGTGGAGTACCCCCAGACCGCAGCTACGCAGACTGGTATTTGTAAGCTGCTCAGAACAACAGCAAGGAAAGAAAAGGAAGATGATTTTGGCTGCACAGGAGGGCATCAAGATTATTACAGCTCGGTGTAGTTATTTGACTGGCTGCTACTGTGCACTGCTGTGGGGTATGTGGCTTCAGGAAAAGGATTCTAAAGATCCCTTCACTTACTGTGTCAGGAAGAGCACGGCAAAATGGTATTAAAAGCCAAATGATTACATGTGAAACACAAGCAGCCTTCTCACACCAGGCTAAATTTACCAGCCTTGTCTTGTAGATCAGGCATTTATTAATGCCTAACAAAAGGAAAATTTCTGATCCTGCCACAAGTATTTTGTATACTTCAGGCTGGGCAAGTCTGCAGCTGAAATAATGTGAATGTGCATGTACAGGCATCATGTATCACTGTGAGAGTTGTTTCATATTGACTAACTTACTTTCTTTCTGTCTTTTTCCTCATTTCTTTTTTTTTCCCTTTCCAAACAGTATTTTCTGAAGCTGAACATCAGTTCACCAGAGAAATAATTGTTGGCTATCCTCCATAGCTTTTCAAAGAACTTGTTTAACTTACCAGTGTGCAATGGTAACAACTGAAGAAAAACGTGAACTGAGTTTTATGTGGCCTCATACCAGTTTTAGGTATGAACAAAAAAGAGTCTCATCCAATTGCGGTTAGGTACCTGGAATGGTACCTAACTGGAATGCAGCAGATTGGTAGGGGAACACCCAGAAGAAATGTAACAAATGGATGGCTGAATTTTCTTATGCAGAAAATAGTCATGAGGCTGAGTGTACCTGCCGTTTTTTTTTTTTTTTTTTTTTAAACAAACAAACAAACAAACAAACAACCCAACAAATCAAAAGACAAGAAAAATCCCTTTGTTTTCCTGCACCTTGAACATACATAAGACAGCACAGGTCCTGTGACACAGGTCCCTCCTGTGTAGCTTTTTATCACTCTGTTTCAATAGCTTATGAGAGGAGACTGCTGAACACTTTTCCGGGGACCTAAAAGGATTATGTGACTACTGCTAGCTATGTGGTAACACTTACTCCTGATAGCATTTATATCAGCTCTCCTTTAGGGAATCACCTAAAATAAGTAGTGACATTTATATAGCACCATCGTCCAGTGCACTTGACAAACCACAGGCAGAGTCTAGGGAAAACTATTGCTGAATTCCAGCTGTTTCTGGACTGATGGGAGGCAGCTTCTTAGCAAAGGAAGCGTGCACGCTAAGGGATAACTCCATATTCTTTTGAAAATACAGGATAGCTACTTCTCATTAGTAGGGATGTGTTCCATGAGGCACACAGTCATATGAGCAGGTTTTGATAATCCCTTGTGATTATCATCTGTTTCTCAAGCCAGTCGTTCACACCATGGTGGTAAGATTTATTGAGAAGGAAGGACATGGAGTGTTTAGGTTTCTCTTGTTATCTCTTACCGAAATACTGACCCACCTTAGTGGCACTGAAGTGTTTGAGACTTAAGAAGCATACTGTCAGACTTTTCTGCCTGGTGGTCCTAGATGTCCCTAGGGGTCCCCACAGGAGGACTCTGACTTCAGGGACATACTGTGCGGCTTTCACCTTCTCATGGCCTCCTCCCACCGCATCTCACCTGCAGCTCCATGACTTCCAGCCTTAGTGGCGTTCCCATGCCTGTAGTAATGGCAAGAGAGCCAGTGAAACCTGCCTTTTCCCTAAAGCATCTCAAACAGTTGTGGCCTGGATTGGTTTGTAAAATGGGAGCATTCTGAGTCCTTACAAGGGCTTTTCTCCTGTCCATCGCCACCTCGTCTGAGATATGCCCTTTCTCTGAGCTATAGTCTCAATGAGTCTTTCCGGAAAGCAATTTTGTATTTCATATCACTTCCTGACAATCTATTAAAAAAAAAAAAAAAAAAAAAAAGTTTCATGTGGGTCTTTCAGCTTCTTGGAACATCTCCCTATTGTGTCTAACCAAATTCTCTCAGCAGCTTGTCAATTTCTGGGTTTGCTGTACTTGCAACTCAGCAAAAAGTAGAAATCTTTTCATTACCCTTTTTTTTTTTTTTTTTTTTTTGGTAAGGGTGGGCATAATTGAACAACAGAGTGTAAGAGAGCTAATTCCTCAAAGAATGTTACTGAATTTGATGAAAATGTATGGGGTTGGAGGTAAAGGAAATTATTTAATTTTTCTGCCTTTTAACCCCCATCTCTCTGTGTCCCTAGCCCAGTGTCAGTTTGTGGCAACATATTCTTTAGGGAAAAAAAAATCAGTTTGTGTTCCAGATTAACTGTTCAAGCTACTCAGTCATGGTGTGTATGCTGCATAGTCCTATTTACTAGTCCAACCCAATGAATGTTTGTCCTGCTATTGGTCTTTTCCTTCATTTCTGACCAAGCTAGAAGATCTTCAAAGCATGTTTGATATTTCTTTCACATTACATATGCCTACAACTGTGACTTCAGTTGGAGTATGGAATATGTAAATCATGTTTCTTTTTTTTTCTGTAATGACAGTAACAGATCAATGATTCCACAGTGGCTCCTAATCAAATATTCTGATAATGTCCTCCATTGAAATCTATGGAAATTTTTCTATAAAGCTACTTCAACCTAGTTTTTATCCCTCATTAAAATATAGTTGGTAAATATGCTTCTCTTATGAGACACTTTGATATTTATGGATTAGAAGTGGGAAGTGTAACTATTATCTTTTACTTAGCAATTCATTTATAAGCTACGTAACATTATTTCTGTGAAAGATTACATAAAGGACAGAAACATATTTTAACATACCTGCTTCAGGAAATTTGAGATCAATAGACAGGCTAGTGTGAAAACCTGACACATCTATAGACATTCCAGAATCAAGAATGCTTGCATGTTGTGTGTCATTATGCAGTATCATGTATGAAATGAGGTACTTCCCTGAGGGATATCATAATGTCTGTCAGTTGGTCTTTGCTGCACACTATGATGTTACTCTTGGAGGTACCAGTCTCTTAGGAGGACTTAATGTAACAGGGATGCTTGTAGTACTTTCCCAGGCAGATCAGAAACTTAAAATATTAAGCTTACTCTGAGCCTCTAAACATCCTTCTAAGGAATAATTTATCACAATTGGAGTCTCATTTTTCATTTTCTGAACCCGGATTCTGGATGGGTGAACTTTGACAAAAGACTGCATTGTATTTGAAAGCCTTCTCTATATATTGTTATGTGAATAGAGGGCATAGGGGAAGTGTGTAACTGTGCCTCTTTTTTTCTTTTGAGTGCATCTTTCCTCATCAGTTACAATAACAAGGGGTGATAGTAATGGAAGTCTGGTTGTTGTATAGTATTTGGAGTTCTGTATGTTTTCTGTTCTGTCAGTTAGGGTAAATATGGCCTTTCCTGTGAATGGAGGTGGTTGAAGTTACTTGATGAGCTCTAAGCATCGGAAGATGCTTCCATTAATTTACACCAGTATCTTTGTTTGCATTTCTATTCCAGGACCTGCTTTATATGAAACTGGTAAAAACATATTTTCTTTTATTGCAGACATTGTTTATGTAAGGATTTGATACAGAAATGGTGTCAGGCAGGTAAATATTTTGCAAAAGTTAAAGGAAACACTGAGATTTGCTAGAAACAGTGTTTAACAAGGTCCCCTGCTACAAAAGAGCTTTAAACAGCCTTTAGTAACCACAGGAAAATCGATGATTGTTTACATAAAAACATTTCAAGCTCTTCCTCTGTTATAAATTATGTGTGGTGAGTACGTATGTTAATGTTTGCAGTAAATCTCTTTATCGTGGTAATATTAAAGGAATATTTATAATTTCCTTAAAATGTATTTGGTTTTCAGTAGATAAAAGATTATGAAGTTATTACACTGAAGAAAACTATATTTCTTGAAGTTGTTAAACCACTCTCAGCTGTGTAAAAATGCTTAGCCCATTTAAGTGTTTCACCTACCCAATAGTCCTTTTGGTTGCACACAGATAAGCTACAAATGAATTACATGTATAAACCAAACGTTCTATCTTGAACAAAAAAAAGCTATCATTTTCATCTGGACTTTCATAGAGTTTCCATTGTTTGTTACATTTTTCTGATGGCTTATTTATGGCTGAATTATTTTTTTAAATAACTGAAACAACACAAGGTCATATGAGACATTATAATTGAAGAAATTAAAGTAAAATATTATTTTCTGTATAAGCATCTGTAAATTTTGATGAAAAGAGTTTTGAGCTTGTTTAGGATGGTCTACAGGTGGCCTGGCATTATCTTGATCATGTGACCTACAGTCAAAACTCTGATGCTTCTTTGTTCTGAGAAGTAAAAAAATCCCCAAAACATTGTAATCTCTATTTAAAGATGCACTCGGTTTTAAACTGCCTCCCTTTTTGGTGAGGTAACCTTATTTTCGCAAGCTACTGTTGAGAATGGTATTTCCTCCTGGAAATGGATGTTTTGTTCCACTTTGCTTTGCCTTATTTTCTGCAGGATGTCTGTTTTACTGAATAAAACCCCCTCATCAGTGCTGGCAGCTACCTATAAAATAGGATGGTGGATATAACTCTGAAGATTCTCCCAAGTCACTGGTAAGACCTCTGTGTAGCCGGTCAAGAGTCTTGATGCTACATTGTCATTTATCCCAAGCAGAGCAGTTATACTGCTGGATAGCAAAATGGGGTTGAAATTTATTGTTGCTTCTTTTTGTTTCTGTGTGTTAAGATCAGTGCTGTCCAAATGACTGGTCATGTATTTACCTCTGCTTGGCCCTCCTGCACCTGACAGCTTTCAGAAAATCTTCTATTTGATACTGAAGTAATTGACATGATAACTGTTCTCTACAAAATTCTTTTGAAATGAAAAATGAGCTGGATCTCTCAAGTTGGGTTCTTTTACATAATACATAAAAGGTGGCTATGTATAATAATACAGTAGATGTGTTCACTCATTATATTATAATTCATTTCATGTCCTATTGAGATGTGCCATTCTGTTTAATATCTGTAACTTGCTCAACTGAAGCACAAAAGTAGCAGAGCTGTAATGAAACCATTCAGAGTGATAAAGGATGATATATTTTTCTTAAAGGGACAGTCCTTCGATTTTCATCTAGTGTCACTTGGGCTAATTGCCTTTTACTTCTGTGAATTTTTGCTTAGGGAGAAAGCCTCAGGTCTAGAGCCAAGATTAGGGTATACAGTTAGTCTTAGTAGTCACACTTTTAAACAGCTTTGCTCATATGGCTCTGCAACTAATACCTGGGGTATGAAAATGCTTTTGAAAAGTGACTTATTTTAATTATTATATGAACTGTCAAAGAAAAAAACAACCCCACAACTCAGACTGTTTTCATCTCCACTGAACAAAAAATGGTAGAAAACTAACTCTGAGCTTTGGTTTATTTTCTTTACAAACAAGTCAAATGTGAAGTACAGCACCAGTGGGAAGGATGATGATAAAAACTCCTTTTTTCCCTTATAAACCATATGTTGCTAAAAGGAGAGTTTAAAAACATAATCTGTATGTTATGTAAATATGTATCTGGAAATGCAAAGATGCAAACGTGGAGATAATACCTGTATACCAAAAGCTAGATCTGCACTCTCCAGAAAATAAGTGAACGTTTAATTGCAATCAACAAGGATAGATTCATGATGTTAAAAATAATTATTATAATTGGACTAGTTGTAAGGCTACCAACAATCTTCAAGATAGTTTGATTTGTATAACTATTTGCCATGAAATACTTGAAATACAGAATACAAAAGGACACTCACAGTTAAAAAAGGAGCTCTTTGTTTAAACCAAAAAAGATTTGAATAGGATTATTTTGTTTATCTGCTCTTCTTTTTCTAATGTCCAAAGAAAGCTGTCAGATGAATGTGGTTTTGAAGCTGCCTTTCTTTCTTAAACATTCATTTTTTAAAATAAATACTATGGACAAGCCTAAGTGGATGAAGGCCTCATTTCATCAGTTCCCTGTGCAGTATTGCGAACAGTCATTTTTTAATAGGTTATTTTAATGTTTTGGGGTTTTTGTGGTGATGGAAGCAGAGGAAGAAAAAGAGGAATGTGAATAGATTTTCTCTGAGAGATTTCACAGACGTGTTCCTTTCTTCAGCAGAAAGAGAATGGATAAATGCCACTTATCTGGTCTTGTTCCCTGAGAATTCCTGCTAAAGGTCTTAAAGAGAGTAGTTTCAGGTTTTTCTCAGAATTCAGATATCTACTTATTGATTATGATATAGTGTTTTGTTGTGTGCACTCACCAAGAAACTTAACCTGAAATGTTTTTAAGTCAAATCAAATAATTCACAGAAACAGCAGAAGATCAAGAGTTAAGCCATGCAAAACCACACTTGTGGTACAAGTGGTTGGAGGTTAAGATAACTGAATTTGGATGCAATTTATTAACAAACAGGTATTTCATATAATTTCTTGTCCTTTTCTTGTATCAAGACAACAGAGACCTAGTGATTGCTAGTGATGTGTGATTAGGTGAGCATGAGTGGTCGTGAACAAATGCTGAGCAATCTTCCCAAAACATGGAGACGTGCTTTAGAAGTCACACTGCAATCCTCATAACATATCTTCTCAAAGAGTTATGAGCATATAAGACCCTCACCAGATGATACCAAGCACTGGATCATGTGTTGCAACGGTAATCTGACCACTTGGACAGCAATAAGCAAGTGTAAAAAATGTAATTTCTATCTCAGATTGCTCTTAACATCCAGGGGATGAATCTCTTTCCCCCAGATCTACCTACTACCACCTCACACTTTTTTTCTGCATTAAAAAAACAACAAAACAAAAAAGAAACGAAAAAAAAAAAGTTAAAATTCTGAAGTCTATTCCTTACTATTCCACTATGCGTGTGAAAATCACTTGTCATTTTGATTTTCAGACAGTATTGCCGACTGGGAGAGACTGTTAGGGGAAATGCAATGTGAGAGCAGGACTCAGGTGTCCAATGAGAAGATGGACTGGGTGAGTACTGGTACCTGGCCCTGGTGCCATTTGCTGCCACTTTCAAGGAGACCTTGAAATGCAGGAAGGCAAAGGAGAAGGAGGATCATCCTGCAGTGCTTTCAAAGCTTCAGAAGCTACTGCTGACAGGTGTGCAAAATTTAGAGCAATGTATTACATCATCTCTTCTCTAACTTAGAGCTAAAGCATGTTTCCAAGAATGCACTGACTGTTGCAGAAACCACCAGTACAACGCTGAGAAAGCTCCTCTCAGTGAAAGCAACCATGTTAGGGAATAGTTCCTGCTATGGGCTTAAAAACTGTGCTGGCTGCTTGCCAAGGGACAGATGTTTTTGGCAGCTCTGGAAAAGGATCCACAAAAGAAAGTCTGTTACCACAAGAAAGACTAACAGTTGCCTCTGGAAATATATCCTGGTTTGAGGAAAATGAGTTAAATACAATCACTGAATCCTTTAAGTGTGTTGGCTTATTTTATTTTATGTTAATTATTTTATTTTATTTTATTTTATTTTATTTTATTTTATTTTATTTTATTTTATTTTATTTTATTTTATTTTATTTTATTTTATTTTATTTTATTTTATTTTGTTTTATTTTGTTTTATTATTTTATTATTTTATTTTATTATTTTATTTTTTTTATTTTATTATTTTATTTTCATAGGCTACAATAACAACATTTCAAAGTGTTAAAACTTTCTTTTTGCTAGGATGAAATAATGAGTCTTCAGACTTACTGTAGGTAGTGCACTATTTTATACTGTTTAAAAATATTTACAGTATATTCCGGAAGTGCAACAAAGAAAACAGTCTTGTACCTGGGCTTAGGTTCTTACTAGTTTTATAAAAAGTATTAATAAATTATGAGACATTAAAAATATTAGTCACTGTAAGATTTAATTAAAAGAAAGCAGTTAGAAGGGATACTTTCAAAGGCATCTCGCCACCTCAGTCCCATCAGTTTACAATAGAAAATTTGGTAGATTACCTTTCTACTAAATTGTGCTTTAAGACTCTCTCCCTCATTCCTTTTCTGATACTAGGATAAAATTGAAAGGGTGAGTCTTTTGGACTTTAGAGATCTGAAACAACTTAGGCTGGAGAGACTTCCAGTATGCCTTAGGTGTTGACTTTCCTTAGGGCAATAGACTTTACTGAATATGGTTGGGTTTTGGTTGTTATGTTGTTTGTTCATTTGTGGTTTGTTTGGTTGTTTTTCTTGGTTTGGTTGGTTGGATGCTTTTTTTTTTGTTTGTTTGTTTTTTGTTTTTTTGTTTTGGTTGGGTTTGGTTTGTTTTTTTTTCCCCCCTAGAGCTGCATGCTCTATTGTTATATTGCATTGTTGATCTTTTCTTGCAGGCTAGAGAATTATTAGACATTTGCTTACAGCTGACAGACACTGACTTTGTTTTCTTTGGAAAGCTGAACTGAATCAGGCCAGTTGTATAGTCTGAAACAATGTTTTCATTAAATGTTAGGAAATGTCTTTCAATGTTTAACAGGGCTGTCAAACAGGATGCATTACAAGTATGTAGATTAATACAGCCATGTGCAATTCTTGACGGCAGTGATATTCCTTCTGGCTGTTATCTCAAAGGAATAGATTAGATAGCGTGGACTTCTCACACCATAGAAGGATGAGTGTGCTTTGGGGGCATCTCATGCCAGGCATGTCCTCAGTGATTGCCTAAAAGATTTTGATTTTCCCGTTTTTTTTTAGGTGTCAGTTTTAGCTGATCAAGTTATACATGTTTTTCAGCCCTTCTGACAGCTGTTTTTTTGCTTTTGGCTATTGGCAAATGTCATCAAAGGTTTTTTAAGATACGAGCTTGCTGATATGATTCATCTCTACCACCTAGTCCTTGTTCATCCAGCTCATCTCTGCAGTGCTGTAGTTTTGTTGTTTTGTGAGATCCGTTTACCATGCAAATCATATACCATGTTTAGGAAACAACTTTTTTTTTACTCTTTCCATCCCATTTCTCCCTTTGAACCTTTGGAATCTTCCAGGGCCTTCTCATTTAACAGTACAATAAATGCAGATTACTCCTGGCTTTTTGATGAATGTTTTTTAATGCTTCAGAAAACCTGATAATCAAACTGGTTACATTAATTAGATACAGGAAGGAATGCTGATGGTAGGTGAAGTTCATAAATACTAGTGCAGAAGAACTCTGATTCAAAGCTTGAAACTTAGTTTAGTCTTTTCTACAGCAGGTAAGATGGAGCTGTCTGAAGAAGGAGATGGATCTGGGAGGGATTTCTGTTTCTCATTCTGATTCAAACTGGGATTTCAAAACTAACTACAACCTGAACTCTCCAGTTGCTTGAGAAATGTACATTACAGGATACATTTCTAAACTGCCTGAGATCTAATTTAGATCAGTTTTATTCAGTAAATATTATTACTTTTTAACTCACCCTTGTTTTCATTGTTATAATTTGTATGAGACTATGTAATTATAGTATTGTTGACTGAAAATGTGTGTGTGTGTCTGTGTCTCTGTGTGTCTGTGTTTCAACTGTGTGGAACATTTTTAGATTTTCTAGGACTTTTGCCTGGTTCTCTGGTTCAATCTTTCTGCTCCATCTGTTGCAAAATGAAAAACCGAGTGAAACATTTCAGAGAAGAATTGTGTCTTAGATATCTAAGTCCTGTAATGCAGTAGTATTTGAAGTTCAGGTGAGCCTGAGGTAATTACAGTTCTTAAAACAAAAGTCTGATATTAATGAAAGTCGTTAAGTATCAGGACTTTTATGTTATCTTGGATAAAGGAGCAAGCAAGGTTTTTTATGTTTGAAAAGTATTTTTGGTGTTATATCTGTTGTAATAGAAGAGAGTTTGTGCTCTTTTATTTTTTTTTTTTTTTCTTTAATAGCAGTCATCTAAGGCTCAGCCTCAGGAAATCATGCAAACATATATTTTGTTCCTTTTCTGTCCAGGGAAAATCTGTACTTATATGTGAAGAAAGGTTTTATACATTCTACAGAACTTGTCCTTTTATATAAGATTCTATTTGCCTGGCAATTATATTTGTTCCTTGTTAGTGTATTGCAGTGTTTGTATACCCTATGTAAATATTTATGTGATTCCTTTCTCATAGTGGGAGAACATGAGACATAAAGATCTCATGAAACTGAAAAGAAAGATTTTACTTCACTCCTCTATATTTGGAAATATATGTTAATTTTAATGTTCCACAGTGTAAATATTAAGAGAAGATATATTCAGGATTTGATTATTTTCCCAAAGGTCCTCTCTTCCCAGGACATCAGCGATCAATTTACTATTGTTAACTTACTTAGTATGAAGACTTCTTGGTTTTCAAGAGCTCTTTGGAGTGTTTATGTGATATAGGTGGTTGAGATGATTAAACTGTATGGACCTGAATGTTTATCATCACTAGTGTTCCGAGGATTGGAAAACTCAAAAGCCAATGGATGAACAAAACTGCTGAAGCCTTGCCTAGTACTTGTATAGAGTGTGACATTCTGGTAATAAAACCAATATTCTTCTGATTTGGTGAATAATTCTAAGTGCAGTTTTCAGAGTTCAGAAATCTTAATTTATCTGAATTGCAACTCTGTTCTTGTTCAGTTTGAGAAAGTGTTCATGACTGTTAAAACAAGAATGAAAAATATGGGCATGGAGCAGATGTTACTTTTGCCTGCCAGACCAAGAATTGGCTAACACTGAATATGCCTCTGTCTAGTTCTTATAGATAATGGCGTATTTCTGAATGAAAAGGGTGTGGATTGGATCTTTAGAAAAGACTTTTAAATATTTAGATACATAAATAGACTTTGTAATTCTTAGTATAGATTGAGATGGGCATATTCCTTGAATAGTCTAGGTTTTCTTTTTCTTATTCAGATTATGTTCACTTAACATACCCTCAAACTACTGTTTACTACTAGAGTAGCTTTTGGAAAATAGCTCCCCTTGTGAACACTATACCCCTGAATTGTGAAAACTCTAGTACTTCCAGAATAAAATAAGATAAATAAACACAGAATTCCAGAAACGAATGCTGAGGGAGGGAAGGAGGTGTCCTGCAGTAACTACTCCAGTGCTTTTCCCAAAACACAGATCTCTAATTTTCTCCAAGTGAAGATCAGTCTAAAGCATGTCTAAAGGATGTCAACATTTCTAAAGCATGATAAAGCCCGGCACTGCCTTTGTTAGTAGCTAACAAGAGCTTGAGTATGGATAGTCAAATTAACAGGCACTTTACACCATGCTCAACTACTTTGGTGAGAGGAAGTGTGTGTTTCTAGTAAGACACTGATCTGACAATCAGGACACAACATTTGCTCTTTCTGATGCCAGGAATGACCTCAAGCAGACTGCTCAGGTCACATTTTGGCAAAAGGTTTGAGCACAGATATATGTCCCAATGACTGCAAGACGTGTTTGGAACAGAGAGAATAATCCCACTGCTACTTAACTTGTCACATAAAAAACCAAGGGAAAATGCCAAGCCTTTTCAATCCACTTTTGTTGTGTGGTCAACTTGCATTGTCAGCTTTCCAAGATAAGTATTTTCTTCTGCAGAAATAAATCCTCTTTGTAATGCATCTCTGCCAGGTGAATTAGTTCATGGTATCAACTGTCATCACTGGCTCTCTAGCAGTCATGACTTTTCCCTGAAATTTCCTGGCACAGATGCTTGGGTGAGTATTCTCTAACCAGTTTCAGCCAAATGATAGAAAGGGCTATTATTGAGCCTGTTTTTTGCAGTTAATTTGGGTAATTTAGGCTCAGATGAGGAGGTCATCCAGGAGCAGCAATATCATTTGGCAACATGTAGTACTGAGAAGCAAGGAGTGATTGCATGTTCTGTTGGCACAGCCATGGCGTTTTATGGGTCCAGAGCTCTCTTGTAGACAAGATAAACACAGCGCAGCTCTTTGTAAAGAGATCCTCAAATAGTACAGCTGTAGAAAAGTCTGTCATACTTTCTTTTCTAATGGTTGGTCTGTCATTAGACAAATCAACTAGTCTTAATTTTGCTTGTTGCATTTATGAAATCTTTATTTTTTTTCTGACATTTCAATGGGTTTTTTTTCTTTGTTTGTTTACAGTATGCCTTATACTTGGACACATGAGATTTTGGCAGAGTTACATGT